GCAAGTGTTTTGGCCGTCGTTCTGAAGTTTTGTATTTACCTCTCACACACACATATACATGTATATGCATTTATATATGTATATATACGTTTGTGTGTATATATATACATATATATATACACACATATATATATAGATATATAGATATAGAAATATATATATATATATATATATATATATATATATATATATATATATATATATATATGTGTGTGTGTGTGTGTGTGTGTGTGTGTGTGTGTACACGTCTGCTTGCATGTGTCTTATCTGTTCAATTCATTCATTCATTAAATCATCCATCTATCCATCCATCCATCTATCCATCCAGCCATTCATCCATCAGTCTGAACGCCTGAGTATCTATCTAATTATCCCAGGTACATATTACCAGGTACTTCCAATTCGATTTAGTCTGTTAAATCTAAACATACGAGTGCTCTGACGGCTGGTGCTGGTAAAGAACTTTTCATTATCATAAATAAAAGAAGGGAATTTTAGTTTTACTTTTGTTATTTTAACAATATCGAGTAGATTATACAAATAATCATATAATATCTAGCTATATTTCATATCCAATGGCGCACTCTCATAGGCTAAAAGTGATGGCGTCATTTTTAGTTTATATGATATTTTATGCTGTATTTTTTGTGTGTTACTGATTCATTGTCAGTGAAAATGGTTTAGTAACAATGGAAAAAAAATAGAATGAGAAAAAAATGTAATGAATCAAAGCGGAGAGGGCCTAGGATTTTCATTACGACGTGGTGGGGCTACCTGTGCTGAAGTACCATGTATTTATCTCTATTTGTCTACCAGCTGCAGTTTTGAGTATTGTTATTGCCCTTATTGTATATATATATATATATATATATATATATATATATATATATATATATATATATATATATATGTATATATATATATTTATATATATATATATATATATATATATGTGTGTGTGTGTGTGTGTGTGTGTGTGTGTATGATGTAAGTATGTATACGAGAGGGGAAATATCCTCGGCAGTGAACAGAAAATACAAAATCCGAATCAGAATTTACGAGCTAAAAGTAAACACGTTCACTAATGCAAAGCCTGATCTGAAATACTACAGTAGCTTTGAAAAATGATGCATATTTATGTTGAAGAGGAAAATGAAAACGCTGGATAAACTTTAAATCTCTAGCACAGCCATTTCAGAGATTACCATACGCATACTTGGTAACTGGTGTAGCGGTGTGCGTCGGCGTGTGTGTGTGTGTGTGTGTGTGTGTGTGTGTGTGTGTGTGTGTGTGTGTGTGTGTGTGTCTGTGTATGTATGCATGGGCGTGCGTGTGTGTGTGTATGTTCGTGCGCATGCGTGTGAGTCTATATGTCTACACGTGCGTAACCGTTTACTTTACATAACAACTTCTATTATGGAAATGGTAATTGTGCATAAAAATAGACGTTCCATTTGAATACTTTCTGATTTAATGTGCATGAGGTTTTAAGAGCGTTTTGCAATCACCAAAGTTATGATTAGAACCAAAAAGGTCGGAGTTGCAGATCCACTGAAATTTACGAGGAATGACTTTATGAGGGAAGAGAGGGTGTGTGTGTGTGAGGGCGAGAAAAATGAGGCTGAGGTTCTCATAACCTGTAGGAAAGAGACGGTCCCTAGACTTTCACTTTCTCCGAGAGTGTATGTGGAAGAAAAAAACGAAAGAGAAAAGAGTATAAGTCAGAGATAAAAGAGAGAAAGACGGAGAGAGAGAGAAAGACGGAGAGAGAGAGAGAGAAAGACGGAGAGAGAGATAGACAGACAGACAGGCAAGCAGACAAAAATACAGACAGTAAGAGCAAGAGTAACTCAGAGAGGGACCGAGAGTGGGCCTTGACTGGCACCCATCCAGCCAAATCATTGATATCATCAATCCTTATTACCAAATCATTATTATTATCAAATTATTCAAATCATTCCTGTAGCCGAACATGATTATCTTCCTCAAGAGAGAAAGAGGAGAGAGAGGGAGAGAGAGAGCGCGAGGGAGACAGGCAGAAAGACGGATCGACAGATGGAAAGAGAGAAGATTAAAAAGAAAAGGAAAGACCAGGAAGAAACAGACAAAATGAAGATATGAATGAAGAAGATTAAGGAGAGGAAAGATAGGGAAAGAGGCAGAAAGAGGCATTTGTGAGAGAAAGAGAGAGAAACAGAGACATAAATGGAAGACGAGAGCAGAAGAATGTGAAAGAGATGGGTCTGAAAGACAAAAGAGAAAAATGGGAAGGTAAAGAAAGGGAGGCAATAAAGAAAAATGTGAAAATAAAAAAAGTGAAAGAGAGATTGAGTAGTGAGGAAAGAACAGAGAAACAAACAAAGAGGCAAAAGAGATGGCGAGATGAAGAAATGGACAGGGAAAAAGAAGAAAGGTCGGGTAGGGACAAACAGACAAAGAGAATGAGAAAGAGGAAGAAGAACAAAGGACAGGGAGGGAAAGGAAGAGAGACAAAATGGAA